CAGCTGAGTTGATCGATGCTGACCCAAGTTCTTTGCACGCAACAGCTCGTCGGATTTTGTGCCTTTGTCTTCAAAAAACATATTTTGTTCTTTGTATCACTTGTTTATTGCAAGCCATTGAACTTGTTATACTTGTTACTATAACTTATTATATATAATTACACGCTGCACTGCTCAAACTCTGTGGACTGAGACAGTGGATAAGGAAGCTTTGCAAGGCTGAGCTATTTGCAGTTGCTGAGACAGGACGTATCAACCCTCGTGGTGTTCTGCATGGTGGACTGGTGATGAGTGCACGAATGCTAAAACTGCATACTGTTTTGTGCGAGTCCATCAACAGTATGTTATCCAACCTCAGCCGTACGTCCCCAAACATATCATTGGAGCTGCTGAGCGCACGGGTCAGCACAAAGAAGCGCCTTGGCTTCTTGCGTGAGCAAGCTTGGCTGGCAAAGGCAAACAATATTGCTTTGGAAGATGTTGAGGCTTGCACAACGTCCACAAAGTCAAAAGGCAGTTGGGCTTCTCATAGCTTTCGACCTAAGGCTTCAATGAACCTCATCAGTGGCATGAGTATGAGAGAGGCGCAACCTTTTGCGCGATTGGCAACCCAACAATTAGAAAAGTTTCTCAGGGATGTGAACATCATTTCCAATGATATGTACCGATTTGCAGCACCACCGCCGTTGACAAGCATCCCATTGGGTGATCCCGGCCTTTTGAACAAGGAGGACAGGCCTTTTGCCCTTCTTTCAGACAAAGAGCGTAGACTATTTATCAATGCTCAGCGCTACCACAGACAATGGTTTGCTCATCTTCGAGAACATCATCACGGGAAGGCAAGCATTTTGCTCTACTTCATGGCCGACGATGCCCCGCAAGCACAAGAGATGTTTGATGCACGCAAAGCATTTCGCATATACTTTGTTGGGGAGATCTTTCATTCACAGGCACCTTTGCCTTTGACTTGTAACCTTACTTTTTGTTCTTGCTTGAAATTTGTAAGAGCATAGTAGTTAGTAGTAGTGGTAGTAGTAGTAGTAGTAGGAGTAGGAGTAGTAGGAGTAGTAGTAGTAGTAACTGTTACTAGTAACTAAGTAGTACTTTGTTTGCATATATTTGGAGAGCTTGCTGGACATCGAATGATGACTAGTTGATGTTGCTAGATCAATCGTTGAGTATTTGCAGCGTGCCAGGCTAGAGTGATTGACATGGAAGCAACAAGTTGCAATGGTGTGGGCTTTCTGCAGCCAATTACATCCATGCGCTCCACAACAACTGTTCAACGTGCGCTGGAGTGTGGCAAAAGAATGCTGGTCTATGCTGCTCTGGCTGAATCAGTAGTGAACACAAAAGGTCGCCTGGTTGAATTTCATTGCAAGGATGTGTGTGAGACATGCACAATTTTGCCCATGGGCACCCGAAAGCCCTATACTAAACGCCGCCGAGTGGAGAAAGGGACTGAGCTTGAAGATGATGTGGAGGATGACGAGGCTGTTCAAGATGTAGAGAGTGTCTATGATGCAGGGGTGTCATGCGATTCTGATTTTGGAGGCATTCCTGATTTGGAAACTGGTGAAGAGCAGCTTGCAAACAATCATGACAACAAGCAGCTTGCCAGCATAGACAAAGCACGCCGAGATGGTCAATTGCCACCTGATATCAAGATCCCAATGCTTAGTTGCTACACGGAGGAGGAGATGGAGCAGATTGCTGTAGACAATCATCTGAGGCCTGGTTAAAGACCAAACAGTCAAAGTGAACATTTTATACACAAACAAAAACATAGCAACTAATGCAGCTAGGAATCACAACATGTAGGTGTGAGGAGTGAGTTAGGAGATAGTTTTTGCACCTTGTTGAATTGTTCAATCTGCTTCACAATTGAAGCAGGCAGAAAGCAAAAAAGACTCCTCCTCCAACTTCAAGTTCTGGCAAGCAACCTGCAGATCAGATCAATTCCCTGCCAGCAATCACTATATCAAAAAGTGTTGCATATTGGCGGACCAGTGTGAAAGAGTCAGTGGACTGCTTGGTTGAGAGGGAGGCTGCTATCAAACAAGTTCCGGTTGGTGGATCTGGAGACAATGATCGTCAGCTGTCACTGATTGTGTCACGAGGGCAAACAGGCATATCAGTCACTGATGCTGATATTCGAGTATCTTTTGTCTACTGGCTTCCTTTAAAGCGGCTTGTTGGCAAGGTTGTGCCTGTTGATGCTGATGGACTTGTACACCATGTGCCAAACTTCATCAAATCAGAGGAGGACTTCTCTGCAGCAGAGGTTTTGCATCCAGCTGTTGGCGCTCAAATGCGCAAGGCGCGTGATGCTTGGGAACATGTGTCAGCAACATCCCTTCGCCTCAAAAGTATGTTTGATGTGGGCTTGGCTTCGAGCACTGGATTCGAGGAGTGGTCTACATCAGAATGTTACATTTGCAAAAAGAATGGATTTGACGCTGTGAAGGATGAGAGTGGTGCTCACGATTCACCAGTTGTCAAATGTCCACTATGCTTGCTTTGCTGCCACATTGATTGCATGCACCGCCTCCATGAAGGGTTGCCTAAAGAGACTGGCAAAAGAAAGAAAATGTTCAAGATTGCCCATGACAAGTTCAGTGTGACAATGATTCCTGCAAGCCTTTTCTCTACGACTTCTTCGTCCGAAGCCTATTCAGTTCATTTCCCGCATTTTTACAAAGAAACACATATTCTCAAAGCAGTGTTTAAAAGATAAAATGCGAGCAATTGCAGCAGTTGATGTGCAACTGGGCAAGCTGGCTTCTCAGGTCCAGCAGCAGCGCTACAGCTACGTCTTCCAAGCATCCTTTACTCACCCAAAGGTATCAACCTTAATTATGATATATGTTCAGCCAAACAAGAAAGCAACCTTGCTTTTCAATATTTATTTTTTTTACCATTGAACCAATATGAATCAGCTACTGCTAGGAGATTGGATGTTACAGCTACGTAAATGTCCCAATTGACAAAGAAACAATACTAAGGACCAGTAAGTGTGCGGAAGCCTTCTGCACCCTATGCCGGTTGTGGCTGGATGAGTGTGATCCTCATTGATCCCTTGTCCAATGTGTCCCAAGAAAAATGAAGCATAAGCGCATGTGAGCGTAATCGCTTGTTGTAGCAAGACAGGTTACAACAGCATTAGGCCCAGGCAGCATCAGGTGTCAGCAAAAAACATTAGAACAAATAGGCAAACGACTTCTAGCACAAAATATACAATACAACTTAACGCAATCTATACAACCTACTGCAATGCTCAGACTCAACATGCCTGAACTCTTTGTGAAAAAACCTGATTGCCTGAAAGGTATGCTCCTCGCATTGGTGAATGAGTTGAGGGAATGCGTGGGATCCCAAGATTTCCAAAGAAAGTGTTAAGTTATCTTCTGAACAACTCAGTTGGAATTGGCATTCATTATCATTGTTTGAGACGCAGCGCGTTGTTCTTTGTCATACATATGCCACAGAAAATTTTTCTTTCCATACATCATTCAATTATATTCTCAAGGGGAACACAAGAACTGTTCCTGTGTATATGCCTTAGTGATTTAGTGCCTGTCCTTCACGATGGCAACAGCGCCTTTTGTTGTATTTCAAGCGAGCACTATGGAGAATCACTTTTACCAGTACGAAGGTCTATGTTTCCCATGTGGCACATGTCCCAAGAGAAAGGAACACAAAACGGATACACATTGTGATGGACATGAGGGACGTGGTGATGTATATCAGCCACCAAGTCCACATCCACGTGATGAGGACAAAAACCGATCCAGAACTGATGGTGGAAACAATGGCAAGGAGCAAAAGAAAGACCATGAGGCTCATCAGCAGGAAAAGAAACAAAAGGAAGCAGAAGATGAGTTGAAGAAGGTGAAACAAATGCTGGAAGAGTATGAGAAAGAGAAGTCCAGCAAGCTGCGTCGGACTGCTTCAGTGTGTGTTTCTTTGGACTTGAGCAGCGATGAGAATGAACATGCTGAAGATGATTGCATTTCCACACCTGGCTCACCGCAGTCCAGTGAACCAACAGAGCTGATGGATGATTCTGATGGTCATGGTCATGCAGAGGAGGGTGAGGGTGAGGGTTCCTATGACAAGACAGAGTCAGCAGAGGTGCCTTCTCCTACCTTTGAGTGCACTTTCAGTGAAAGGATCAGGTTTGTGAAAAGGCATGGTCCATCACAAAAAGCTGATCCACACCTTCCAGAAGGATCAACACCATTGAAGAGACAGCGGCGCATCAGATTTGAAGAGTTTCTCAGCCTTCACACAACACATGGTGTTCATGTTTATGTTTCTATCAATTTGTACTTTGCAAAGCAAAGCAAGGTTTTGATAGGACATTGGACGTATATCAATCAAATGAATTCAACCTGCTTCACTGCTTCAGGCTATTCGAGAATGCGACCGACTCTGAGAGCGAGTTGGACCTATGAGAAGGAAACATAACAGTGCCATCCATGTAGCGCCTGCATCAAGGAGTGTGTAAAACACTAGTTGTGCAAGCGCACGCCTAGAATAAACATGACACTTAATAGTACATCGCAAAAAATACATTTCCAAAGCGTACCAACAACTAACTAGGCACTTATACTACCGACCTTTAGTACACTTTCACAAATTCAGCTTCACATTCTGTCTGCAGAAGCATAAAAAGCTATGGCACAAGTCATCCGATGTTTGTGGTATGTGAATGCATTGCTACAGAGGCTGTTGTACTTGCTGTAGTGACAAATGTAGATGTGTGACTGTGTGATCATTGATGCTTCAAGGTCGCATTGCAAAGCAACTGCGCACGTGCTTTTCTCAGCGCAAACAGAAACCCTTTTGCAAGAGACAAGGTGAAGTGTCTTGTGGGACTGTTGCCATTTGCATTTGATTTTGCAACAGTGGCTTGCAGTGTGTGCCGCTGCCAATTTGAAAGACTTAACAAACGGACCATACACAGTACACAGTCCACAGTGTATTATTGTTTTGTTAATATATGAGCTAGAATCTAGACATATGATATACAACCGTTCACACTGTCATCAGGAATAAACAAATAGCGACATAGGTATCACGTATTACTAGTTCACTATGAATTTAACTATGTATTTAAACTTTACTTCCCTACTAGATACTAGAAGCTAAATTATTGTTAATAATATTTATGTATATTATGAAGTTAAATACCTACTAGGACACTACTGTACTATCTTTGAAATAATTTATCTTGGTGCGCTACCCCACCAGTAGGTAACCAACTTCCCAGGCAACCATCTCCTTAGTGGGGAGCTGCCTCCCTAGTTGGGAACTATTTCGCTAGTAGGGAGCTACCTCCCCAGTAGTCAACTACATCTCTAGTAGGGAGCTACCTCCCCAGTAGGTAGCTACTTCAATAGTAGGGAATCACCTCCAGCGGGGAGCTACCTCCCTAGTAGGGCACCACCTCCCCAGT